ACAACAAAATAGTAAAAAAAAATCAATGCATTCAAAAATAATATAATATAACAATTTCTCATAAAGTAGTAATCTACTGTCATCACTCCGTTGAAAAGAGACGTGTAAACAAAAGAAATAGTGTCGCACCTTGCATGAAGTAGAGTAAAAAAAAAACGAGTCAATCGATTTCATTTATATGGAAAAAACGGTGAACTAACTAATAAAAAGGCTCTATGTTATTGGACGTTATCCGAATAAACCTGCCGTAAAAAAAATTCTCAAAGTAGTGTTTCGACAAACTCACTAGTATTAAAATTGAATTGTATTAATTAACGAGATTTGTAGAGATTTACCTTCCTTCATCACAAAAAAGTCCACTTTCTTTAAAGAGCACCAGCATCGTTTTTGGAATGGTTAATATGATGACCTTCAAATCACTCACGCAGTACTCACGCAGTGTTTTTAATTGCTATATACGTATTAAATTTAGAATTTCATTTTATTTGTACGTATTTTAGCCAAGTTGTTGTGATTGAATTGTGTGAAACTGTATCTTTTAAAGTAAAAATAAGTAATGGCAACATCTACTACTAAGCAAACTCTTGCAAAATATGTGTGCTATATTTAAAAAAAAAATGTTTTCTGTAGATATAACTAAGTAGCACACACATTTTGTTATTCTACTAAATAGTTACATATTTGCTTTAATATTCCTTCCATTAAGTGCAAATAGTCGAATAAAGCTTGCCAAGATCATTAATATGTTTTAGAAACTGATATATTTTATTAAATTACCTTTGACGAAACTGATTAATAAAACATTTTTACAGATTTCCTATGAAATGTGTTTAAGCATGGTTATACATCAATATTTATAAAACCATAAATTGTTTTAGAATGATTTTATTGAGGGCACAGGATGCGATAATACAAACGTTTTTTTCCAAGAGCTTTATAGCAAGATTTTATAGTTATTCAATTTGCATATTGCGACATTTTTGCATTCAAGACCATTTTAATAAAAGTGTTTATAAATAATCGAAACAGCTAATAAAATAGAAAGCGCTTTAAAATATCAATTTTATCACATGCGACATTCCTATGTAGCTTCATGAACACAAACCTATCCTTTCATGCTAATTCAAAACTCAATCTACTACAAAGTTGCAAAATTTCTGGTGGTCAAATTTCTAATTTCTAAACGAAGTGGAAAAAAGAGTGAAAGATTGTTATCAACTAATTTTAAATTCTTCTTAAAATTCTGTAAATCAAATAGTTGCCACATCCATGGCTAGGTTGGAATCTGCCATCACAAATTTAGAACATCAAAATGTAAATTCCAGTTCCTCTGAAAGCCAATTAGAGCTTAAAAATATAGAACCTGTCGATTCACTTTACGAAGAACACACCACTTAGCTCTCCGAAAGCAGTAAAAATATTAAGGTAAATCAGCGCAGCTGACTATGGGCTACTTTCTGTATTGCATTGCATTAAGAGGGCTTTTTAGTATTTTGAATGATAGAATTCGTAATCTGTGTTTTCGAGACGACTTTTATAGAGGTAAATTATATTTCAGAATTGTGTTAAAGACTAGTTTCAAATCAGTTTAATTTTATATGTATGTCGGAAGGAATAAAAATGATTTAATTCAAATCGCCGCATTTTCTATTGTTCAAATAGAAATAAGCGTCATATTGGAAGCAACCATCTTGTCATAAATAGGAAAAATTATAAAGTCTATTAAAAGTTTTAATTTGAACACGGGATTTGACATTCAGAGTGTAACAGAACGTCACGCAATGTTTTTTAAATTTATTAGAAACAAACATTTTTTAAGAATTACAGACAATTTTAATTCAAATTTTTTAAGTACGGGCAAAATTGGAAGAGCTTTGAAATTTAAACTTCAAATATATATGTATAATGTCAGTAAAATTGACCTGGTATTTCACAATCAGGGCTGTAATATTGCACATAATATATCTATCCAATTTAAGCCAAAGCCTGTGAACTTCATCAAGCCTCCATTAAGCAAATAATTGTGAAGAGTATCAAATCATTTTTGTCGGCAATATTATCGTATAACAATAAAAAAAAGATTTGTGATTCTTACAAAATGAAAATGTCATTGCTAAGTTGTTAAAGTCCCACACAACACAGATTATTATTAGATTAAACGGTGCTGCTATAAAATTATTAATGAGTATTCTGTAATAATCGTTTGAAACGACATTTATAAAATAATTTAGTTTTAGTTTTAGAGTTAGTTTAGTCTGCTAAATCTATCACCCTAGATTTCACCCTAACTCGGAAACAGGTTAACCCATTCTTGAAACAAGATTTATTAGATTGCTTTAGACCAAAATTATTTTGAATTTAATGGACAGATTTACATCTCTAAGCAAGGTTTGATTGTGGGAAACCCACTTAGTCCTTTGTTAGTCGAGATTTTTATGGATAATTTGGAAAATATCATACTAGAACATCGTTTAAGTAAAAGTTTTCTATGGTGGTATAGATACTTTGCTTGTTTTGTTGGAACGGACAGACAACTGAATTCTTTTTTAAATTACATTAACTCATTACATAATCGTATAAAAATCACTATCGAGATTGAACAGGATAACTCTATAAATTTTTTAGACTTAACTATTACGAAAACGCAAAACAAATTAAATTTTTCCATTTATCATAAACCTCCACACACGGACACAGTCATACATAACAGCTCAAATCACCCTTATACACACAAAATGGCTGCATTTCACTCTTTTATACACCATAATCAATTCAATCACATTCAATAGAAAATTACAACAAAGAACTTAATATCATTAAACAAATTGCACTGAAGAACGGCTACAATCCTTCCATTATAGATAAAATTATAAATAAAAAACAAGTCCAGACAACAGTAAACTCTATATATCCGGAACCTAATACAGAACAAGAACAATTTAAAACAATTACATACATATTAGAACCTAGTGAAAAAGTTTCAAAACATTTTTCAAAATGTGATTTAAAAATAGCTTTCAGAACTAGCAACACAATAGCAAAATTTTTAAAAAACAATAAAACGAAATGCCCAAAATCTCTACAATCAGGTTGTAGACAGGTTGAAATGCGGATCTCGTCCCAAAATTTAACAAACAGGTAGATCCTTCAAGAAACGCATTAACGAACATAAAAGAGCGTTTAAAAACAATAGTCTAGATTCTAATTATTTAAACACAGAAAAACACATTTTTGACGATAATTTTGATATTTTACATACATCCACAAAAAGTAGAAAATTAAATTTATTGGAAGCCATGGAGATTAACAAAATGAGACATTCAAATGTATTGCTTAACGATAAATTAGATTTAAATACCTCTTCTTTATTAAACTTAAATTCTCACAACAACATTAATTAAGGTTTTATGGTCATTTTTCGGTATATATAGTAGCAGGTAGTTTGTAAATATTACAGTTGATAAAGACAAAATATATAATTTTGTGAAAATTTGAACTTCTAGTTCTTATTTATTTTGCTAAAAAACTTACGCTAAACGAGCGAAGTTTGAATTTTTAGCTAATGCAAACTTGCAAATGCAAAAATTTACAACCAAACTCTTGAAAAGTAATCTAAACATGGGCAGTTCATATTTAAAATATACAGAGTGTCCATACAAACATAGGTCCGTAATTGATTAGTTTACAAGATGCTAAAACTTAAAATAAAATAACTTTTTTAAAAAAATGAGCTGATGGTGATCGAAAAACTGGAGATATCGGTATTGTTGGCTCATATATCAAACGGTAATTTTTTTTATGTTCTCTGTTATCCGTAACGAACCTTCGGAAAGTATTCGAAGCAGGATAACATTCGAACGGTCGGAACTACAAATTTTCTTCGACCAGACATTGACATCCATTTTGTCTAAGCGAAATCAAAAGCAATTTTATAATTTCAAATGGATCACTATATAATTTCTTTCAAGCTCAGCTGGTTTGGAAAATTTCCAATATTTGTTTATATTTTTTTACGTTATAATAAATATTTCGGTTCGAAAAACAACACCTTAGACATATTGAATTAGAATGGAAGTGAGTAGAAGAAGTTTATTGTGTAGTAAAAAAAAACAAAAAAAAAAAAAACTCAAGAGTCAAAAGAATTGGACATTAAGATTGTAATTGTTCAAAGTAAATAACGAAAATTGCGAAAAAGTCAGTGTATCTCCCGGTATCGGCCAAAAAATATTTAACATGTTTTGCCGCTTATGTAAACTTCTTTCTTTTGTTTGAATGTAACATATTTTTGAATTTTGCTTTCAAATGAGTTCCGAAAAAAATCATTGAGTCATCAAGTACTACAAAACCCATTTTTCCGTTACAATAAAGTAGAATGTTTAAAAAATAAAGCAAGTGTGAAAAGTTATTTTCGACAAGTAAACTAAAGAAAAGTAAAGTAACATACTCAACATTAAAAAAATAATAACAAAAAACGAGAAAATTACACATTAAGAAGAAATTACATAAAAAATACCACGGATTAAGTAAAAAAAAAATACATACAACTAGTTACTACTCGTGCAGAGTAGAAACAGGAAGAACTTTTTTGCATATCCTTTAAATTCTTTATTACTCAATGCCTTCCCTTTTGATAGTAGTTCATTATACAAAGATTTAACGGTTTTTTTTGTCATTTCGAATAATTGCATTTCTTGTTGTGGAAACCACTTTTTTGCGTAGGATAGTCATGAGAAAAACGGATAAGTGAATTCCTGCTGCGGTTTCGCTTATAAATAAACATTTTTGTGGAATATTCAAGAGGTCGCGTTAGTTTAATCAAAATGTAGGACCAAATGCGAAAAGAGCAACTCTCTAACCAAGTAGACACTCTGTACATTGGCAGCTTATCCACGAACGGACTGGAGAACACTAAAATTTCACGATTCAGCGACTCTTAGGTCAATGGCAAAAGATAACCCCTATAATTGGCCATCGTTATAAATATCGGCCACCACCAGGACGGATTACTTTTTTATTCTCGTTAGTAACTTCCCGACTTGGCTTGATTGCCCGACGCTCTCGAAAACATGGTTCTAAAACTATACGCTGCAATCGGCAGTCCAGCCGTCAGAGGAACCCTTCTCACGATTGAAGCGTTAGGCCTCAAAAATGTCGAAATCGTCCCTGTCGACCTTTTTGCCGGTGAGCATCTCAAACCAGAGTTCGTCGCCGTAAGTATCAACGATTGGTTCTGCTGCAATCGTCGTTTCAACTTGCTGTTTTAGAAAAACCCGTTGCACACCGTACCAACCTTGGAAGACGGAAACTTTATTCTGTGGGATAGCCACGCCATCAACGCGTATTTGGTCAACCAATACGGCAAAAATGACGCGCTGTACCCCAAAGATGGCCAGAAGAGAGCGAAAGTTGACTCTCTGAATCACTTTGACAACGGATACTTGTTTGCCAGAGTAGCAAAGATCATTGTAAGCATGAATACTGTAGTTTACATCAAGTGTCAAATGAAATCGAAAAATGTTTAGATTTTCTCGAGGGTTTTTCTGTTTCTTTCACGGACTAGAAGGTCCGATCGCTTAAATTAAGGGCTAAGGGCCTCTCGGTTTATTATTTTATTCTTATTGTTTTCGAACAATCGATGAAATCGAATTTTTCGAAAATACACGAGCTTGGCAACGAAACTTATATTTCGGCAACAGGTGATCCTACGGGACCCCCATTGGAACAGAAATGATCAGGGTCGAAAAACATTTTTTTTATTTTGTCTGTCCTTTCTCCCTTTCTCTGTAGACGCGGCATTAAATAGACATAACTTTCGAACGATTGCACTTTTTCCAAAATTACTTCCTTTTAAGCACTCCACACACACATTAGCCCGTGAAAAATAGTTGGTCTCGAACTTGGGCGTCCATCTTTTTTTTCAATTTTTGACTGTTTTCGGACATCGCTAAGAAACACGAGAGTGTCCGAAATTTGAAGTCATCGACTGCAAATTTGGCAAACCAATAGCGTTTGGTCCCCTGATGGAGCCTATAGAAATTGAGGGGGCTGGGGGGTAGGGAAGTATTTTTCAAGAATCAAAAATCGTGTTTGCAGGGGTCCAAGGAAAATTTTTTTTTCAAAAACCGTTTATGCAATTGAAAATATCATTTTTATGCAGAAGTTTATTTGAAAAATGAAAAAATTATTAAACTAAAAGATCCGCAAGATCCAGTTCTATAAATTATTCTTGGTAATTTTCAAAATAATTACATGGTGTGTGTTAGTAGGTATCTTAAATGTGCAGCCATCGATTTCAGATTCGGCAGGAATGTAGAGGTCCATATCCACATTTAAACTTTTGAAATTGGGCACAATCAAAAGTCGAGAAGTATTTTTTCAAATTTTTTGAATTATTTTTGCCTCTAGAAAAAAATAATTTTCTCGGAAACTGTCTAGCCGATCGGCATAATTCTTGAACCAGGATACTCGGGAGATCCCGAACCATAACATTTATTTCAAGTGTTTTTTCAATTGTAGACAGACTTTTTCAATAATCGACAAAAATCTAAAAAACCCTGAAAACTGTTCTTTCCCATTGTAAATTATTAGCCGTATATCAAAATTCCTAATATATATGGCAACTTGGTTTAGAAGTTATTGTAGACCGTATCAATAACTACAATTTGTATTTATGGTTTCGGTCTATCACATACACTGTTCGAGATATTTGAAAAAATCCAAATGAAAGTCGCCATTTCTCGTCCTCTGTGTCGAGAGCGAGTTTCAGTTTTCGTCTATGATACAGGGTGCGCGAGATATTTGCAAAAATGTAATTTTAAATCGGAATTACCAATACAAATTTTAATATTTACCAAAGTTTTCAGTAACTTTGAAGTTCGATGAGATGTAAAAGACACTTTTGCGAAAGTTCCTTAGTGGTCCGCAGGTGCACGATAGAAAAACAATGCGCCCCTCTAGGAAAAAAAACACCGAAGCGGTTTTTTTTTAATAAAGATCTGGTCCGCGCTATAATCTTATTTCAGCTACGCAAAAAGGCAAAAAGCACTCTCTAAATTTTATCAGCACGATTTTAGAAATTCTTTAACATTCCCTTTCACATGCGTGGATGGAGAAACATGATTTTGCCGATGAACTCGAGTTCAAATTGTATCTCAACATTTTCACTTTGCCGGATTTTTATGTAAATAATTAAAAAATTTTATTCTTGGTCCAGATCGGAAATATCAATGTCGCTCTCAGAACTTTCGCCAGAATTTACGGTTGTAATAAGTTCATCCGCGTTATTTTGGACATTATCAGCGAACCACATTCCCATATCGGTTTTTTCTATGACGCGTTGAACAAATATTTTGTCCTTGGAGAAATCCTTTTGCATATCCTAGATGAAGCAGAGCGCAATGTGGGAATCTTTTTGTAGGTGCCTTAAGACCTGATGTTAAACCCCTTGAAAAAGTCTCTCTCCCATCTGACATGCTATTGTCACACCAAACATAATTAATCATCTAAATAGATGATATTCCATGTTAACGGTAAGAATTTTAACATCAACCATTTTGACGGACTAGCTCAGTTCAATCATTAATACCTCATTAAACTAATTCAATATATCTTATATACAATATATTTATTTATACCGGGTGATGCACTGGCCAATGGAACATCAGAAATCGCATGTAAATTTTTAGTTGTCCAAAATATTGGCTCCTTGAAGGGGCCGATATGATTAACTTTAAATAAACTTTGAATAAATCTTCATCTTCAGTTATTGAATTAAATACGATGGCAAAATTGCAAAAGGTCAATACCACAAACGCAAGCGAATATTTTCTATGACGTTATTTCCAAAATTTGACGACGTCATAATAGATGCATATTTGGTTTCACGCATTCATTTTATCATTATGTTTTTCTTATAATCAAACTCAGACTCGGTTCCTAAGACCATCTTGTCCTTTAAAGCGTCCTTGAAGTGGACGGGGGGTTTAAGTCACAAGGAAGCTTCAAGGAATGACTATAATTTTGACATTAAAAAGAATTAATAATTATTATAAAATACGGCTATAAAACATTGCTAAAAAGAAACAATATTTCAAATGAACATTATTTTTTAATAATTGCTCAAACAACCCTCCATTAATAGTTAAACAATATCATAAAATTCATTTCCAACATTGCTTAGTTGATATTGTGAAATCCTGTCAGATTCTAAAGAAAAAGTGTTTTGTAACTGGTTAAGATTTTCAAATTTAACATTTTTATGAATAACACTTTTCAAGTGACCCAACAGAAAGAAGTCGTTCGGAAAGAGGTCAGGTGATCTGGGTGGCCAAAAGATTCGGCACTTTGGGCCAATAATATTCCCGTTAAAAGTATTTTCCACATACTCCCTTACCATTTGGGAATTATGGGCGGGACAACCATCTATCGGGTTCCAGATCTCTTGATCTTCGCGAACAACTTCTTCTAGTGGGAGATTAATTTGATTTTGTATTGAATCCAAATAGGTTTCTGACGTGAGGTTATAGTCCATAAAAAATGGTTCTATATCATGATGACCGCAAATTCCCACCATAACATTTATTTTTTGAGAATATGGGCTTGGAGTATGAACCAAACGATATTCATTGTCTTGGCTCCAATACCGACAGTTTTGGTTAGTTTTTTGAATATTTGGTTCGTTGTTGAGTGTGAATGTACACAAATGTGACACAAATATTTTTAAAAAAATCCCTATCATTATTTGCCTTTTCCGTCATTTCAAAAGAAAATGCTACTGTTCTTTCTTCACCTTCTTCGCGAAGCTCTTGGCGCTTTTTGTATTTATAGGAAAAATATTAGTGTTTGTTTAATGTGAGCAGCACTGTCCAAGAATCCTGGCACTAATCATTTTGATTTCCTGCACATGCAGTAAAATGTTCAAATCTCTATTGCCCCTTTCTTCTGCTCTATTATCGATATTTTCAGCTGAACATTTGCATTTAATTATTACGGTGCGTTTGAATTAGGTAATACCTTATACATTTAACTGTTGAAATCGAAGCTATAGTTTTAGCAACAACGTATAATGCCACTTAATGATCGTTACTTTTTCTTCAATCGAATAACGCATATTTTGCATTAATTAAAGCGCGTTTAATAACGTATAACAATCCCAAATTAAAATATTGTTACTCTCAAGAATTTTTCCTGTTGTCATTATCAAAATGTATTTTACTGCTATTTGATTTAATATCTATACTATCATCATACCTACCTTTTCACAAAGTTATATTACAACTTTGGTATAAAATGCACAGGGGAACCAAAATTTGCCCACCTAAAAATTGTGACTTGCTCAGTGTGACTTGCCCTATAGACGAAAGGACAATAAAATTCCAGTATCAATGTCATTTCCAAATATTACTACGAAAAAACAATGAATGACAAAATAACTAGTAATAACTAGTGTCACTCTGCGCTACACGTATTTTTGTAAACATCAAATCAATGTAAGTTCTGACGAATATATTCTGAAAGACACATTGCCAAAACCGGCATCCACTGTTATAAGGAAACGACAATTAATTTTTAAAACAAAGTTGTCGCTGTCAGTTGACATAGATTAAATAAAAGCAACATAAACTGCAGTGAAAAGTTCTGTTCGTGTTGCAATCGTCATGGTTTCGGATGTTTTGACAAGAGCACCTCCTCACAGATCAAATCTAAAAGAGTCACATTGGATTTCCAATGGAGGTCAAAATTACTTTGTCAATTCACTTTTCGGTATTTTAGTCACGGTCAGGTCACTGAGTGAATGTATTCATAAATCCGTTGATCCGCTTATTCAGTCACTCGTAGCAAAGTAAAGTCGTGGCGCTTATGAAACTTATTATCTGTTGTTAATAACAGACCATTCGTTTCTCAGGGCTCACTTTTCAACCCGGACCAAAAAACCATTATCAAAGAGCAGGCGGACGCTTTGGTAGAAGCGTACGGCTTTCTGGAAGCCATCTTGGCCAACAAACCTTTCGTCGCCGGTGATCAGCTGACTATCGCGGACTTGAGTCTGTTAGCGACGGCCACAACGGCCGACGCTCTGATCCCCATCGACGCCCAAAAGTACCCGAAAATAACCGCCTGGATTAAGAAACTGAAGGCATTACCGTACTACAAGAAAGCGAATGAGGAAGGTTTGCAAGGAATCGCCGGTTTCATTAAGAGCAAACTTGGTTGAGAATGTAGCATTGTCGACGGAATAAAGAAGATAATTCTTATATTGTTTTCTGTTTTTATGGAGAAATGCGCAAGAAGGAGGAGTGTATTCAGACAAAGTATTACAGGCTTTACCCAACCCTACAGATTATTAGAAGTATGTGAACAAAGGAAAAGGATAAATATAATAACCAAAACTATGGCTGCCATAGGGAGCCTCCGATCTCTATTGCCAAATATATGTGACATTGCAGCGTTGCAACTACTACTGTTCATATTAGCATGTTTTATAGCTATGTTGGTGATAAAAAATTAGTTTTTAGAAAATTTGGCAAGATGTATCTATGACAATATCAAATATATTTAAACAATTTTAAGCTAAATTGCCGCTGTAACATACGATAGCAGATCTGTATACTCAATGAAACCTTGATCCAAAAATATTATACTATATATATTTTCAATCTATGAAAAACCGTACTAATTTAATATAATATGTAACGGTTTTAAACATGTAAATAGTAATGTATTTCGTATTAGAAAGATACGAACTAGTCATTATTTATGCTTTCGGATAATAAGATAGATTAGATATCAAAATTTTGAAATGATAGGATTGTTAGTAAGTTCTTTGGGTTCCTTTTGCGTTGCTATTTATTATTATTTAATTGTTTTTCTGAGTTTTAGCTTTTAACTCCAGAGCGATTCAAACTCAAAAATAATATTTTTATTACGCAAAAAAAAACAGCCCACATACAAAAAATTAATTAATTAACATTTTTATATTTTGTCAAAAATAAACTTTGTAAACACTGAAATCTCATAGCATAATGCAGCAACCTATTGGTCAGTGGCCGTTCGTGGAAAAAATTTAAGGTGTTTTGCAATTCTTGTAATAGAACCTACCTTAACCTTAGAGTTGTATCTAATCCAGCCGAAAAATTAGTAAGTCCACGAAATTTTCGCTCACATTATGTCCCTGTTGAGAAAATGGTCTAAAGATTATTTTCTATTTTCTAAAGCCAAATTTTCTTCTCTTGGTAATTATGCAGTCGATATAGCAAGGTAACAAAGATTTCCAAAATAGAAAGCCCCTTATGACCGCAGTCCAATTTTTAAGTTCTTAACTTCCATTTTTTGCATATTTTCACATAATTAATCTTAAGTGGAATTTTTTTGCAGAAAATATTTACCCTTTTTTTTTTATTTTTCAGTTTAAAAAAGTACCATTTAATTTTTAATATATTTATTTTCTGGAAATATAGATTTTTTTTGAATATTTTTTTAAATCTATTCATTACTAACGGTAACGTTTTTTAAAAATCTCTGAACATGTCTATTCAGAAAGACAATTATTTTAAAAAATGGAAACGTCGAAATATCTCATCTAGGCCGTTAGTATTCACATATAGATATACGATTTTTCATACTTATCACGGGATCGAAGCGAGCGGCCATTTTCGAGTCGTACGAGACTAGACTAGAATACCAAAACGCCCAAAATAAAATAAACAAATTACATTTTACAAATGTTAACATACTTCTTAAGCCAGCAGACTTATCGCTACTTATTATTGGGATGCCAATTGACGCATGAAGAATAGAACAGCTTGTCTATCCGTTAAATGAAACGAATTTCCACTTGACCTCGCTGAAACATAAACATTTTAACCCCCAACTCGACCGGTCTATTAATAAAAGATAAAATGATTGCTCTGTTGATGACACAGCATTTATTGGGCGGATATAAAACTGGAGGTCGAGAAAAAAATATGCCAGGTACTTAAGTTCACGGCTCGCGTGTTGTAAAGTATCGCTTAAAATGGTGCTGAAGTTATACTCCGCCGCTGCTAGCCCTGCCGTCAGGGGCACATTGTTGACGATCGAAGCCCTTGGACTAACAAACGTGGAAATTGTACCCATTAATTTAATGACGGGAGACCATTTGAAACCTGAATTTTTGGAGGTAACAATATGGAAATTTTATTACCAATGTATCATCGTTATTGTTTATTTAACAAGTAATTTCAACACTGAACACATAATATTTCGCCAAATTTTATACTTTGCGAACGGAACATAGTAAAGCCCGGTCGGAGCAAATATGCAGTTACGTCATAGCATGACATCTTTTTCTTGTTCATTTTGTTTCTCAGATTTTTTTACAGTTTCCTAAATGTGGTAGCATTATAGCTAAGACATACAGTTCATTTTTTATTACGCCACTATATGTGACGTAGCAGCACACCTGCTCCGATTTTAGTTTTTTTTTATGTCGAAATAGGTTTTATGATAATTATTAATTTCACTTCTATTCATAAATGTTGTTAGTAAAATGAAAAAAAGCTGTGCATAACTTTTCACCGGTTTCAGACAGTAATCTGAAATTGATAATTAAGCTTTTGACAACCTGCTTTTTTTATCGGATCAAGGAAAGTTTTCTAATGCCTCATAATTACGTTTTTTCCCATTTGTTTTAGTTTTTCGAGCTTGCTTACTCTACCCACTGCGACGACAAAGCCACTAACCACCAAAAAATAAATAAATAACTAAAGTTAAAAATAAAAAATATATATTCAACGGAATCCAAAACGTAAACCGCAGTTAAAAAATAAAAATTTTGCCTATGTATGTATTGAACCCCGTAAATTTTAAATAATTTACATATATTATACGACCACCCTGTAAAATAATCATATATAAAAATATAATTCAGTTCTCTGTCACTAAACCCCAAAATTCTTCGTCGACCAGTTTGAAAAAACTAGTTTAAATTTTCTTACAACAATTATAGAGCAAAACGAAACCGATAGATGCCGTTTTTTTATATAGGGTGTCTACTTTTATAACTATAAAAAAGCCACATTTATTTCTGATTTTACAATGAAAGAAGTTGCAAGATTTAAAATGAGTTTTTTCGGAATTTACTTGTTTTCTCTAATTTTAAATTGAAAAAATCCCGATTCTCATTTTTGTTCTCTGAAATTAGCTTCATTTTTTAGAAATAATGTAAAAAGTATAAGAAATATTGAATAGTGATAGTTCAAAACTGGGAAAAAGTATGTAATTTTTGTTTTGTAAAATTAAAAATAGATGTCCGACTAAATGGTTTGAAAGATCTTTAACAATAGAAATTACCAGATGTAAAACTTTTTTTCAATTTCCTAAAGGAACTGCTAATAATTTTAGATATTCCCGAAGAGCTGAGGTCGAGTGTATATTTAATATTTTAATTTTCTCTCCCATGGTATGACAGTAACTCATGAGATAAGTTTTCCATAAAAGTTTCAAAAACAATTAAAATATTTCCAAACGAACTTATATCCAAAATATTATAACCATTTACAGAAAAATCCAGTGCATTCTATACCGACTTTGGAAGACGACGGTTTCATAGTGTGGGACAGTCACGCCATTAACGCTTACCTCGCAAGCAAATACGGAAAAGACGATTCCCTGTACCCGAAAGATCTGCAAATACGAGCCTCTGTAGATGCCTTGAATCAGTTCGACAACGGATACTTGTTCGCTAGATTCGCCAAAATCATAGTAAGTAATCACAATGGTCGTTCAAATCATTGAAAGTTAATTTGGCATATAAATTTAAATGCAAAATCTGTGAAGGCCTTATGTTGCAGGCTGCATGTTTAAACATAAATTTTTGGACATTTTCATTTTATTTAATAGACTTTAAGTACCTGAACATATAGCTTTTAAACAGAATGTAAATTACATAAATTATCTATCTATAAAAAACAATTTAAACGTGGAACGGTTTATTCTTTATGCATATGTGTAGAGAGGTTAGCAACGTCAAAAGAATTATTGAGAAAATATAGGAGGACTTCCTCAACAATTAATTTTGTTAATTTTATATGATACTTCGTTTATCCAAATAATTTATTAGAAACCTGGATCCAACTTAAAATACAAAAATTTGATTGCTTCAGCTAGTCCGACTACAACTTAAATGAAAACTTTCCTAATTTAGAATTTGAAGCTTAAAGAGAAGCGTCGTTAAAAGATAAGTTTATGTATTTTCAGCGCGCACTTTTCGCGGGTGCTTCGGGCATAGCCAAAGAAGACGCCGATTCGCTTGTTGAAGCCTACGGTTTCCTAGAAGCCATTCTAAACAAACGTGAATATGTTGCCGGAAAACAGCTAACAATCGCCGACCTCAGCATCCTGGCCACAACCACCACCGCCGTAGCGGCAGTACCACTCGACGAAAACAAATTTCCCAAAGTATCTGCTTGGCTTAACCGTTTAAAGCAATTGCCATACTATAAGAAAGCAAACGAAGAAGGTTTACAGCAGATCGCCGGATTCCTCAAGAGTAAACTGTCTTCGTAGTAATAATAATTAAAATCACTATATAAATGGGTATTTATTTATTGCTGTGTACTGATGTCAGTAGTTCGCTACATCCCTCAAACTTTGCTAGAGAACTAGAAGCTAGAAGAACACTTGTTAATTATATAAAATTTCAGTTAGTCAGATTTATTCTTATTAAGAAAAGGCATTTTCAAAAAAAATTGGTGCCCAATTTTGATTGATTAATTTGACCTTTTTTATATATCGAGGCAACCTATTTTTGTAATATGGTAGGCTGTTACAGGCTAGATTTACCCCGAATCAGAAAATTGCTTTTTGTTAAATACCTAAGTTTATTCCTGCAGTATTAATTAGCATAATTTTAATAAGTACAAATAATAGGCATATATACAAATATGAAAGGGATAGTATTTAGTTTCATCTCCTCTATATTTCAGTTCATGTCTCTCTTTACTTCTCGTCCTTCTAAGCACAAATGGTGCATGCGCCAATAAAACACTAAAAAAATAATAGAAGGCATGTTTATAAATCAGTTGTAGGCATATTAACGGTACTCAACTAGTGTACAATTTTTGCACCTTGCACTTACCTCAAATTCAGTCAGGTGTTCATAATAATTGGTTGTGTCAAATTTCACCGGCGACATCGAGGTTTCCAATCCAAATTGCTGACATATTTAACATTAACTACGCTTGGAAGCAAATTTAAATTACTACTTGTCCCGGAATCACTGGTCGTTCAAAATGGGGTAGCGATCGGAATCCCAATTCAATTCTTACTTTTCTCAGCTACAATGTAAACAAACGCAATTAAGGTTAGAATTTTCGAAGTCAAAGCACTCTCGCGTAAAGTAAAGGAAAGCAACTTACCTATGTTGTCATGCTGCGTTGAATTGACGCACTTGATTTGGCATTTTTCCCCCATAAAAATCATCTTTCATACACGAAAATATTTTAATCGATCACAAGCTAAATGTCAATCAATAACGTTCAATTCGCCCGGAAGTGGCCAGAGTTGCAATTGTCTGTCATCGCCAGGGAATATCAGATCGGCTGGATGATTTTTCTCTACCAATGAAATCTTTTTGTGTTTTTTTGTTATTATCAATATTAAAAGAACAAGCTCGTATCGGACTCTTTTTGATCTTGAACGCTAACGCGCATCATCGGAGTTTCGCACCCATATTTTAAGATTGATTGAGTTCATGTCACGTTTTGTGGGTTTGAATATATTGGATAAAGCGAATTTAAACTGCGATAGCGGGGAAGGCCACTAACAACCTAGTAAGCATGTTATACCAGTTATTATCTTGAAATTTCACTTTTTGTTCTGGGTACTTAGGGTGGTTCTGCTTCCTTTTAGGCCTTTTATTTCCGGGAATTATAAATCAAAATAACAAGCACTAGTTTGTTCGGACAACCAGCGACAAGCATTTTCTTTTGTCAATACCACCAAGAAGGTCGCCCAAGGTGAAAGGTGAAACTCGTGTCTCGACGACCTTTGAAACTGGGGACCGTCCATTCAGAACGTTCTGGACAGTCATGCTGATTAATATCCACCAGAGGAAAAAAGAGCAATAGCACTAAAATTGGGTATTTGTGAGTAATTTACACTGTTCTAAATCGGATTGATTTTGAGCTTTTGCGTATTACATGTGTGTTATGCGGCCGGCTTATGTAAGGATTGAGCCCTCAAGACCGTAAAGCTGAAACGACTAGTTATAACTTTGGGACCTTATGCTTTATATAACACCACACCCGTACTTTTGTTTTTTTTTTTCCTTTTTTTTAGACTTTGCTTAAGAACAATAGACGTTTCCTATTAACTTAAGTTCTAGACTTTTTTTTGTACCTTATACTCCTCCTTTCCCGTTTTGTGATAATCAGTTTTTCACTATTCGAGGAGCTACGTCCTGTGAAAAACAGGTGGAGCCAAAATCTCTCTAATTTTGCTTACGTTTTACCCACCCCCTCACCAACTGGGTGCCCAGAGCAGAAGTAGGACGTACTCCTCAATTTTAAACAACTTTCGACAAGTGAATCGCTGAGTACAATTATAGTTTGACCACCCTTAATTTAATACTTCTTAAAGTTTTTTTTTGTTAGCCAGTCGAAGTGCTAAAAAAGGCGCAGTTACAAATAGGGTTATTTTTTTCTGATATTTATGTCTCGAAAAACACTTGGTATGCACCTGCACTTGCGCCATTTTGTTTGTAAACAGCGAGATATGGCATTCAAACTTTACCGTTTCCTTCTTCTCCACCCCCACCCCCACTCTCACAAATCAGAGCAATTTCTATCTAAACAATCAACTCTTTAATAGTACAATTAGTGTAAGCTACAGTCATTAATAAATAATAAGTAAATAACAACGAAAACATGAACGTAGCAGCGTCAGGTTCGAGTAGCTTTTTGGGTCATGCGAGATCGAGACAGACTTTATATGGCTTCTCATTTAACTTTTAACAGTGTGATAAGAAAAACCACTTATTGGCGTCCGTATTCCACTTTTAAGTTACAGACAATTTCAATTAGCGTTGCCGTTTAATTATTTTTAAGTCAATACATAGATAAAGCTCTAGTGCCTTGGGCTGTTTTTGTAAATGATAAGAATCTTCTTACAGAGGAAATTAAATAAATAACACACAAGCAGACTAATAATTGACCCAATTTTTTAGTCATTAATAAAAATAAATCAAATATGCAGCCTCCGTAAGGCAAAGTAAAATAGACCCACAGACCAAATTGAAAAGAAGCTAAAAAAACTCGCAATAAGGTACAAAAATGACATTACCATTAATTAACTATATTAAAAATATTGCTAAAATATTTTCAAATAGCTAGGTGACGTCATAGAATGGCACTTTGCGAACGCTTGGTCGGTAAATGGTTGGGTTTTTTAGAGTAGGGAGTAGAAAAACATATAAATAACATAATATTTTGTAATAATAACGATAATGTTATGCAGAAAACTTTTTTTAATTCAGCAATGACATAATATCTGAAAATACAAAAATTCAAAAAATTCGAAATGCTGACGGATGCGCAAGAACTACAAACATTGTGTATTTTATGGAAACAAATAAAAGTGACCCATTAGGACAGCAGTCGTCAACGAAAACAAGACACCTTAAAAATGCAAAAGTCACAATAATTTAAGTAATTTTATTTCAATTTTGATTGAATATTGCTTTAGGAAAAAAAATAAAAATTAGCAATATCTCAAAATACGAAGATTACAAAAAACACATTGTCGAAACACTTACGAACTACTATAATATTCAACAAGTTTTACAAACACCATTTTAATCATGTGTTTAATTTTACACAAGCGGAACGCAGGGAAGCTAGTGCTTAACAAACGAATGACTGATGAAGTTTATCAACGTGTTGGCATACTATACTTTTTCTACAAGCATTAGTTTCGTGGTAATTTTTTTCAAATCAACACTATTACATTCACCATCGGTGGTTAAAATCTAACTAACGCTCCCAAACTAGTGACTAGAATCGCCGAAATGTCCGAACTGGCCTGGGACTGTGGGAACTAAGCTAAGGTCTTAAAGTGATACTTGCATAATGCCTCTGTTATCAGTTGGGGTAATATATTCAAAACAAGACATCCCGCATAGGTTGGGATTTTTTATAACTGTAATGATTGTATGCATTCAATTTTAATTGATCTCTATGTCTATTTAGGTATTTTTGTGCGTCTCTCACTCTGTAATATAAATATTCATGGTATATACATAACAAACAATTTTTAGCAATTAAATGCTAATAAATGTTAGTAGTTTATGTTCTATAAACTCTGTTGCGAGATAAGGACACGAAGTCTTTCGGTAGTGGCACCATATGAAATTATGTTGTAGCTTAAGACACACTTAAAAGTCTGTCCTTATCATCAGCATGTTTGAAATTTAAAAGAGCATGATAATCGCTGTTTAGTTTCTTACAACATGATCTACCCAGTTTAAGTTACTATTTAGAATGACCCAAAATAATTTTACATTCTATCCGCGTAATAAATCCTGAGGCTGATATATTTTTATTGTAAAATTTTTAATTTCTGGTCTAGAGGGCCTATGATAATAGACACAGTTAGTTTTCACAAACTATTTCTACAGCAACAAAATTAGCTTTTTGATATAATTCAATTATCAATACCGATGTAATGACAGATGTGTCATCAGCAAATAAGAACACGTTTCCATTATGTAATTGCAAATTTTCTATAAACTTTATTCTGTCTGACAATAAGCTTTCCGTCCTTAAGATATTCTGCGGAACACCCGAGACTTCAGTTAATCAAAAATCGACCGAAGATATTTGGACACGGTTTTTGATATATGAAAATTTATTTTTTCATGCCTGTTTACAGTAACTTCAGCAACTAGTATTTCCTGTGCTGCTGACGTGATTGGAGTGTGAACTAAATATTACCGCCAAAATATAAATTCTCAAGGAGGTAGTTATTTATAGACGACAAAACTTAGCCCATTCTAATTAAAACGCATTTTCTTAATAAATTTAACTTAATATATATAATCAAATAACTAGCATTCTCACAACACAACACCACAACAATTAATAAAGTTTATACTAAATCAAATCACACTTACCCGTTAACACCATCAATGTGTAACATTCAAAGTTAATTGAGGCGATGGCTTTAACTGTCTGTTGTGACGCTAGCGATTAGCGCTTATAGTACCATCTACGAAAAATTTGTTCTTCAATTATCAAACATCTATTTTTTTCTTTATCTGTGGATCTGCTGGTCATGTCACACGTCACTCAATAAATGTGCTGTTGTGCAAAAATGTACCCGATGTTGTAGAAAAAGCATAGTATGCAAGACAGCCGTCACTAACGATCACGATTGTATTACATTTCAATTCTACTTGGGATTTAACTAGTACGCCCATACTCATTCATGTATCTTCTATGTAATAATAGATCAGGGTGTTCCTTAATGCTATGAATATTTAAGTAGGTGAATCTACATGAAAAAATTATGATAATTTATTAAATAAACTCTTGTCC